TCATGTGGTTAGACGGTTAGTGGAGAAATTTTCTCATCTTTCAAATTAATACACATTGATCTCATTCAAATGGAGGGCTAGGATTAATGTGTACTTTGTAAATTAAGATGAGTTTGTATATGATCCTAAATCTATATATATATATATATATATATATATATATATATATATATATAGGGCAAGGTTCAAGTAAGAAGAACCCTTTAGGTGAGAAATGAGAATGAATCTCAGTCATTGGATTCGACTAAGGGTTGGTTTGCAACTGCTTTTAAAAAAGCACTTCTCAGCTTTTGGCTTTAAAAAAGCACTTATTTTCTCAAACACTACAACTTTTATTTTTCTCGGCTTCCGCGTCAAAAGTGCTTTTACTTTTTCTATTACACAAAAAGCACTTATTTTACCAAACAGTACCCACTTTTAATTTTCAAAATCACTTTTTTCTCAAACACTATCAACTTTTATTTAATCACTTTTCCTCATTTCATTAAAAAAAGCACTTTTTTAAAAGCAGAAGCTGTTGCAAACAGACCCTAAGTTGCAGTAAAAGACTTTTCATGATGCACTGAAATATGCAATCTAGCACAGTGGCATTTCTGTAAATACTTCTGAAAAATTCGTATTAGACTTGTCTAGTGCAACATGAAGCTATTTTGGTGCATCGCCGTCAAATATTAGTGCAACATGAAACAGTTTTAGTGCAGCATTGCAAAATTTAAAAATTACTGCAATATAAAGCCATTTTAGTGCAACTTCGTAAATCTAATGGTTGAGATTCATTATATATATATATATATATATATATATATATATATATATATATATATATATATATATATATATCACAAATGTTCATGTCCGGAATTCCGGACAGGAACCGCCGTCCGGACGGCGGCATTTGGCCGCCTTCCCGGTGACATTTTTTGATGAAATTTGTATGACATGTTCGCCATCAAGTCTAGTTTATCCAAAAAAAATTCAGCCAAAAACTCAAAGAGGCTACATTAAAGGAAATTTTTATGGTGCATCAATCTTGAAGGATGTATTGGTGCGTTTTCACACCTGGCAGTGCTTTAGTACCCGGGTTTTCCATGTCAGTACATACGATTAAATAGCCTAAATTGCAATTTAGTACATATTCATACGGAGCATTAATTGTGGAAATTGCGTACATTTACATATTCTAGCAAAAAAGAAAGTTAAAATAACATATTGCCCCCCTTTTCTTAAAAATAATAATCACGGAACATGATAAAACTTCATTGAAATACAAAAAGTTTAGGGCATCTTTACTACACAGATATTTTCCATTTTTTATTTATGTTTTTCCTTATTCAATTTTCTGTTTTCATTTTCCAGTTTTTCTATCTCCATTGTTTCAGTTTTCATTTTTTAGTTTTCTATTCAAATCTGAAAACATGTTGATTCATTCTTTTCACCCAGTTCCTTAACCGGCCAATTCAAAAGACTGAAAGTACGGTCCCTGTCCGAAATTGAATCTAGTTAAACCCAAATAGGGTATTGGGTCCAACGTATAGGAAAGTCGGGACCGAAACTGATCGGTCTCTGTCGATCTCAATAGTTAGTTTGATAAATTCTTATTGGGTGACAACTTATTAGAAATATAGCAGACTGAAAGTATATTATTATTATTGATCAAGTGTGTCTCAGTACAAGGTATTTATAGTAGTTGTGTGTATGTACATAAGTAACAGATCATAACAGAATTACTAACGGCATATAGTTATGACTCGCAATGACCCGCTCTAGCCTAAGACATTTGGGGCGGGTCTGCACCGCCTCGTCTTGCAAATGGGGCGGGTCCACCCCGCCCCACCTATATAATGGGGCTGGTCCGCTCCACCTGCCTATATAATGGGGCGAGTCCAGGTATTAGTATTGACCCGTGCCACTCTGTCCCGCCCCGCTCAATATATAAGCATAGATGATTTTCCTTAAATTATACTCCAAATATACTTCAAGATACATATGTGTGTATATCATAAATCATAAATTATTTAATCTTATGATATATTAATATTTATATTTGAATGAGATGAACGATGAATTATCAATGTCTACTTTATATATAGCATTTTAATATATATATATATATATATTCAATTATTAATATAATTAAATAGATTAACTATTCAAGTCTAAGTACTTTTTTCTTAATTTTTGAAATTCTTCGCGAATCGTGAATTTGATTTAATATATTATTTTTAATAATTATTTAGAGATAAACTTTATGTAGATTCAATTGGTAATAACTTCCCACAAATAAAAATACATACTAACTAATTAGGTTACGACAGGGCGGGGCGGGTCATGGGTCACCAAGTTTGGACCCATGCGGGTCCACCCAGTGGAGTCACGGAGAGGGTCGGGGTCTTGCAGTATCCACTCCGACTTGACCCATTGCCATGGCTAATTACAAGCAACCGGATATTTACTCTTACTATTCCCCCTCGAACTTAGTGTGATATGATGGGACATTCAATCACACTAAGGGAGTGTTTGCAATTGCTTCAACTTTAAAAAAGTGATTTTTTAAAGTGATTTTGGGAAAAATGATTAATAGTAAAAGTTGGTAGTGTTTGAGAAAAAAGTGATTCTGGAAAAGTAAAAGTTGGTAGTGTTTGGTAAAATAAGTACTGTTTGTGTAATAGAAAAAGTGAGAAGCAGTTTAAAGCACCCTTCTACCTGCTTCCAACTTTTAGCTTTAAAGTGATTAATTTAAGCAGAAGCTGTCATTTGAAAACACTCTTTTCAACTTTTTTTAAGCCAAAAGTTGAAAAGCGCTTTTTTTAAGCAAACCCAAACACTCCTTAAGTCTGTTCTTCAGCTCAAGGAATCTGGTGCTTGAGAGAGGTTTTGTCAACACATCAGCTACTTGATAAATTGCAGGAACATAAAGAACTCGAAGCTTGCCAAGCACCTTGCGATTTGATGATATCACTGTTGATCTCCCAAAGAAGAGGTCATATACTATAATAGGTTTAGAAGAATGTTCCAAAAAAACTGAAGAACTTGAAGCTTCATGTATTTGAAAAATCTTTTCACGAACAAAATACAGATCAAGCTCCATATGTTTGATAAAACTTTTCACTTTAAAAAATATAATGATTTTGAAAAATCGAGACTAAACCGCTGGGTCATATAGACCAGCCCGGACAGGGACCACAAGGTTGTTTACTAAACTGACTCGGGACCGCCCGGTTGTCGATCGGATCGAACACAGACCGTTGGGTCAATTGGCAGACAGGATAGGGACCGTTGGGTTGTTGATCGGACAAGACGGAGGCTGCCGGGTGATCGTCCGGACAGGACGATGATCGTCGTCGGGGTATTTGATCAGATCGGAACTTACACTAGGCGTAAGTATACAAATTCATTGCAGTAGCATTACAGCATCCTCGTTTTCCAAATTTGGAAAACTAGTAAAAGTCAATTCTCCAATTCATTAAGAAAAACAGAGACATATCTTTTTTTTTTTGAAAAACTATTTGGTAAACACAATTTTTTGTTTTCCCTTCTCTAGTTTTACAGACTTAAACACAATTTTTATAGACCGGAAAATAGGCCAGATTTTTGGAAAAAGTTTTTCAAAACTTTCAAAACTTAAATAGACCAATTTAGACTAGACTTATACAGACCAGACCAGATCAGACCAAACTAGACCAGCAAATTTGAGTCCAAGTAAAAACATCGCTCGATCAGAGATAAGACTAACACAAATCAAGTAAAAACATACTCATAAGTTATTTACCGCCACCGAGTTTTGATACTTCAAGTCTTCAACAACAAAACTGAACAAAAAAAAACTCAAAATCACGTTGTATGAAAATTGTTTGATAGATATTTCAATTTGTAATTGAATTTAGGCCTTGTTTTGGAAAGAAAAACGCAAAGATTTTAGTGGAAAATAGAAAGGAAAGAATTAAATAATTTAATCTGTATGTTTTAGAAGTAAGATTGTAATTTAATAGGGGTAGAAAAGAAAGATATTATATAGTTAAGGGCTAACATGTAAACGGATAGAATTTAATACGGAGTATATAAATGAAAGATGTTACTTTGATGATAATGCCTCACTAATTATTGCTTACGTGGAATGCCTTCCACTTATATTTAGCCACATGTGGAATGCATCAATACATTCCACAACACGGATGCACGGGAGAGCTACCCTACATTAAATTAAACATAAATACTATTCTAGCTTCACCGACAGGGCCTAGGCGGAACGGGATGAAATGAAATCCCATAAATAAATGACGAATGGTAATCATATATGTCCACCACCATACGGGGTTTGGTAAGTGGCGGGGATGGGATAACCCCAGTTGTAGGGTGGCGGCAGGTAGACCGTAGACGAATGGAGTGATGACGGGTTAGTATAGTAGGCAACAACAGCTTCAGTGCCGCCGAAGATGACGGGGGAAGTGAATCAAGTGATCAGGGGTGGCGCCGTTATGTTCGAGGCGGAGAGATCATCTGTGTAGACACCGCCGTGAATGGGGATCGGTAGCTGGAAAGCGGCAGTGGTGGATGATGGGTAGTTTGTGGTCCCTTGAGCAGCTACGATGACAAGCTCATCCTGGTGCAGCAATGACATCACGGCCTCGCCTTCCGTCCAGAATCACTAGTGGAAAAAAGCTAATTTGCGGCGGTTTTTTACCCGTACGCGCGGCGGTTCTAACCGCCACGGACAATTATGCCGCAAATTTTTCACGCGCGGCGGTTTATATTTCTCAAAACCGCCGCGGATCTAAAATAATAAAAAAAGAAAATTTAAAATATTCGCGGCGGTTATTTCCCTGACAACCGCCGCATATGAATACGATCTGGCAGCTTTTCTTTTTTGAACACGCGGCGGTTCTACTTTAATAACCGCCGCATATGTAATGTTTTTTTTAAAAAAAATGATATTTTGCGGCGGTTCCTACGTAATAACCGCCGCGTTTATAGTAATATTTTAGAAACACAACTATAAATTGGTAAAAATTGTTTTTTTTTAAATCAAAACTAAATTATTAACACATCACCTGTTTAACAAAAAAAATTAATACAAATTCTTTCAAACCAAACATATCAATTCAAATTACATAACAATTTAAGTACTAAATTATAGCGATATAACAAAGTCATAGTTACACAAACAACTTGCCCAAATAAATCTACAACTCCATTATTACATCCATAAAATGCCCACACCAAACATTTCGAATTTCATCAATTTCTTCGGAAGAATATGATTCCGACCTTGATATCCAATCCTGAAATATAAAATAGTTGCAATCTATTAGAAGATAATAAATTACCAATTAAAAATAATTACAAGAGACTTATTAATAATACAATATAATGTACATATAATGATACCTTTCCAATATCACTACTTCCTTGATGAACAAAGCAAACCTCCCACAAAAAACGCATCACGTAATATCCACATGCTTTCGCTCCAACTTGTCTCGCACACTAATTAAATATATCATTCAATATGTAAGAAATATGAATCATATAAAAATATTTTACATCTATTTGCATAAAGCAAACTCTATCATGACATATACGGAGTAATATATACATACATACATACATACATACATACATATATATATATATATTTTAAATCCATATACCTTAAGATTTTCCCATTTAATAGATTTTCCGTTTCCTTGGGAAGAAGAAGCAATCTTGAATGCTCTATATAATGCAATGGAGTTAAAAAACTACCCATAAAACTTAAAATTGAAAAAGACTAGTAGTTTTGTATTAGATCTTAACATACATCGTTAATTCTTTCTGCATAGTGCTTATATCGCATGATCCCGGGAGAGAGTCTATGATATAGCCTTTATTCACCGCAGGACAAATAACAATTAACATCCAATGATATCTGCAAATTAAAAATACAAGTCTTATTATATAAACACAAGTTACAAAAACAAAATAGTAAAACTCTTACCCTTGATTATATGGCAACAAAATTAATCTTTGATCAAACAGGTCATCTAAATTTCTCATCAGATACGACGTAGTGCCATCATAATCAGTCTCAAGTGAAGTATAGGAGCAATTATTTGGACATAAAAATGCAATATCATCAACTCCAGCTTCTTCCAGTTTCGACGACAAGCAACTTCATTTATGAAACAAAATTAGTTTAGAATAACATTATTAATATGATTTATAAAAACACATTAGATTTTAAAACAAGATTTAACAAGACTCACAGAATGAAAGCAAATATGACGCCCATCTCGATAGAGTCGCATTCCAACAGCTCCTTCAAATCCTTTCTATCAATAATGGATCCACACGTGTCATCAATCGAGTTGTAATGGAACAACTCCGGAGGTAGAGGATCGTTTTTTCCGCCGTCCATACATCCAATTACGATCCATCATAAACCTGTTTATTTATATTCCATTATAGCAATCGTTTTTCATTGATTTAATTTAGTGACCTAAATTATACTCGCAGTTTCAATGTGCATATATATATATATATAGTCAAAAGGTCACACTATTTAAACACATAGTGATAATTAACTACACAAACTAAAAAAAAGTTATAAACATACCAAACTATGAGAGTAGGACAATGGTGGAAGGATAGAGCCCAAGCAACAATGTTTTAATCTTCACTCAATCAAATCGATCAACCCATAAACCTAATTAAATTCACATGCATATTCATTTAATTAATTACAAATTAATTATAAGGGATTAATCACATGCATACAAAAATGAAATATTATTTGTTATTCATAGTAAATTAACATATTAATATTATTTTTAATGAATTGACATACACAAGTAGATATATTATTAGTTTGATCATTAGTATTATAATTAACTTATAACACAAAAATTTATAGCCAATGAAATAAAAAAGAAACTTCTAACTATTTTTTACGTATTATTGTATTGTTAGAATAAACATAAACAATCTAAAATTAATATTAATGGAATCATATAATTAATCATTTCAAATAAATAAGTAAAAGGAGTAAATCTAAAAACTTACAAAGTTTAGCAACGAAAACTACTAAGTTGAGCAAGGCGGATAGTTGACGTAAGCCTCGTCGCCGGTGGGAGAACCAAGCTCTGCTACGGAAGCAGCGGTCAAGAAGACGGCCACCAAGCGCGGCCCGCGTAGGCCGTCCGAGGATGGCCTGAACGCCACCAACAAGATGCCCTCCGCAGTTCAAGCCCGACTTCGTCCGTCGCAGCGCCGCCGCCTTTAGCCGGCCGAAGCCATCAGACTTCGTCCTGCACCACCTCCCGTCCGTCGTGAGTCGCACTAGTCCGCCTCGCTCAAGGTCCGTCTCTAGCTCGCCGATCACCAGTCGTCGGCCGCCGGTTTCCCTAGGTTGAAGGATTAGCTTGCCGCCGGTTGCCCTAGGTTGAAGGATTAGCTTGTCTCGTTTTTACTCCTTGGCTTTGGAAAGTGTGGCGAGAAGATAGATCGAAGCTGCGTATTAGATTAATTTGGGGAAAAACAATTTGTGGCGGTTCTAAAAACAAAACCACCGCGCGGCCATTAAATTTTTTCAAAATTCGAACCAGTTTGCGTCGGTTGTTACGCAATAACCGCCGCGCGTCTTCCAACTTTCCCGTCTCTTTTTTTTTTTTTAATTTTTTGGCGTCGGTTTCTACACTAACAACCGCCGCGGACTATATAAATAAAAAAGAAAATTAAACAACGGCGGTGGTTGTCTAGATAATAACCGCCGCGCGTCTTCGAGTTGATTATTTTTTTAATATTGTGGCGCTTATTATAGAACCGCTGCATATGCTGTGCCGCAAATCAACGTTTTTCCACTAGTGAATCTGAGCCGGTGTGTAAGACTGATGATCCGGTCGGCGAAGTCGGCGGGTAATCGGATTTGCCTGCTCCGGTAGCGTCAATGATTTTGCTGTGATGCAGCGGCACCACTGGGATTGGTAACACAGGGAGCAGCGGAAGCGTTATCCATTGGCCGGATCGGAAGGAGCCCCGCCGGAAATGATCTATGCGCCGTTAAATGTCTGAAAGACGTACTGTGCTGGATAAACGAAAATAGTAGGCAACACCAAACTTGCACGCTTTTTGCACGTCATATAAATAACATCTTTTTTTTATTGGGTGATCATCGTACGGTACGCCGGTAGTATCTTACAACTTTGATTGTTTATACTTTCTTGGTTAAGGCATAGCTAGGATAGAAAGTTGGGTTGATCCGATACAAAGAATTTTTCATATAAATTTTTACATTGAAAAATAAAAAGAGTTTTCAAATTTGGTGCGGCCTAGGGCCTAGTCCCCCTACCTCAGACTTAGTCCATTTGTCTGGTTTCGAGTCTAGGACCAACTCTATCCGATAGTGTATGGTCTCCGGTCCCGGTGCTATATTTTTTAACCGAACCGGGCGGTCCCAAGTCTGATTTCGATCCAAACGCGCGGTTAATTTTTGTTTTTTGTTTTTTGTTTTTTGCTTATGTGGACACCATTTAGCCGTTGGAACAACTATAAATGACTATGTATAGCCGTTGGGGGGGGGGGGGTGGAGGGCCTAACGTGTCTTATTTGTCACATTTTTCGTTATTTATGAAGTTTAAAAAATGATAAACTCTAGAAAATCAATTGATTTAAGTAATCTGTTGCACAACTATAAGAAGAAGGTTTTGAATTTCCAAACTTCTTTGCAGTCTCGTGCTAAACGTCCGGGTGGCAACATCTTCGTCCTGAGCCTGTGATACGTAAAGTTGATTATTGGGCGACAAAGTTTGACCATAGAGATGCCATTTTGGACGAACAAATGGTGCATCTATGGTCACAACATCACGAGCGGTTTTTAGATCAAGACCTCATTCCTGAAATGGCGAATAGTTGGAGAACGATGACGTCAAGGAGCAGCAGAGTTGGAGGATGAGCAAGAAGGCAGGAATATCCTTGAAATTATTTGGACTTTTTTCAATCTCAAACTAGACCAAATTTAAATAGATTGTTTTAAAATTTGCGTAATTAGTTTAATATCTACTTCTAAACTAATCTGTTAATAAAAATTCTTCTCCATTTAGATAAATTTGTAAGCTTTAATTTCAGAGATTTACAAAGAGATATCTAGTGAAAATATGAGTTAATTTGAAACTAACTTCAAGAGCCTCAATTTCTCTTATTCTATTAAGAAGAGAAACATTTTCAGCTTCTAGGCTATCTCTGATCTTTCCTCAATTAAGAGATTAAGTTTGAACTCAGTCTCTTTCCTCAATTATGAGCTTCACTATTCCTACCACCCATTTTAACCAATAGAATTTAATTTAGGTATTGCAAATAGTGAGATTTGGCCTTCCCTAAATATGTACAACTTCACTATTCTCCCCACAATTTCAACCAATAGAATTTAAGTTGTTTTAGCAAATGGCAACTCACCCAATTAATTAAAGCCATGCTAACAAAATAACTTTTTGTGTAAACAGGGGCCACATCCTCTTTAACCAATTGAAATACACATTTTTGAGCTATGTGAACCAATTTTCTTTTGTGTGAATAGTGTCACCTCCTTTGTAACCAATAGAAATACACCTCATTTAATAAGGAAGTCAATCGGTGCCAATTCTCCTCTCCATGAATAGTGCTCACCTCTATTTTAAACCAATTGAAACACACCAACCCATTTAAAGTGAACGGTTCCCACCTCTTTTTTTGACCAATAGGAACACAATATATTTGACCCTGTGCACTAACTCGTGAATTGTTGGACAGTAACTATTTATTTATTGACCGAACTGAAATCTTCATACAACAATTGATTTGCAATTATTTTTTATTAAAAATAAAAATAAAAATTGATGTTGACACTTTTAAGGGAACACTATTCCTCAACTTCTTTTTGCTTTCGTCGATTGTCTTCTACGTCTTTTCTCTTTTCGCCATGATCTCTCTTCTTCTTTATTTTTCATATAAAGAAGAAGAAGAAGGAACACTGCATGTTGTTTTGCTTTATTTTTTTCCTAAGTAACTAATTGTTTTGTTTCCGGAAATAAACAAATTGTTTTTTTTGTTCTCTTTTTTCTTTCATTCTTTTGACATGGTTAGCCTTTTCAAAATTAATCATTTAAGTAATGTATACTATTAATTACTCTGTAATTATTTTAAATAAAACTTGTTTAACCAAATACTATTATTTGAACAAATAATATAATCTTAACTAATATTTTTATATTATTTCAAATTATTAGTTATGCACTCTATCTTGAATTAATTTAATGTTTTTGGTTTAGATGATTGAGTGGTATAAAATTAGATACTATAAATTTTATGGTATGATGCATATTAGATATATCAAGGTAGATATTAAAATAGATTTTATTCAACAAATTTTATAATTTCCAGGTATATGAATGATTTATATCCTTGAAGTAACAATAGTTATAAAATTTTCATTATTAACAATAATACAATAAAATAAGTATAATCATGTCTTTATATGTCTTTTTACACACTATCAGCCAGTTTGGAACAACCAATTTTACCAAACAATTATTTATAGTCAACTACCATAACCAGTCGGTCAAAACGGCTAACACAACCAGCTGTTAGGAAGCAACTGACACAATCCGCTGACAGCAACAACTAACAGTCATTTGCCAATCAAGGCCTCTATGTTAAGGCCAACATTCTTGAATTGAGATAGATTTGATTGTCACAGTACTAGTGATGTCATCAGATCAGAAGATACTTGACCTCAATTGACGGTTATGAATTTCAAAAATAATTACCATGATTACAATTTGACTAACTAACCCATATATATCTCCTTATTCACTACCAATACTATAATTTTTTAAAATTAGTCATAAATATTGGATGTCTATTGATTGTTCGATTTTTTCTTAAAGTGAATCCGATTTCCTTTCTCACACTTATATAAATTATATAAAATGTGGACATATGTCTGCTTTTTAATAGTTCTAGTTTTAATTGCTCCGTATTATACCGTCAAAAAAAAATTGCTCCGTATTATAATTACATATCATATTTTTACTCAGTGGCCGTGTCTAGGGTTTCTCCTAGTTGGAATTGTACGACGGTGACGGTGGTTGCCGGTCGGATCGTTTGTTCTTCTTCGGAAGAATCCAGTGCGGTTGAAGGAATCCAGTGCGGCTGAGGGTTGTCAGTGATCGATGCGAGTGGATCAGTTCTGTCCCATCATCGGCTTTCAGTTACGTTGGTTTTTACCGAAGCATTCCGTGGGCAGACTTGGTGCTCCAATTTTTCGATGAAGGCTGCGGCGATCGATTTTTTCGTCGGTCAAGGAGGAGGAGGAGGACTGCATCGCCCTGGATTCGCGTCCTGTCTCTAGGGTTTTACCGCTAGAGTTTTATTTGTCCGCTGTCGTCTTTTGGCGAGGAGCGGTGCCGTCTTCCGGCAATTCGTTCGTGGATAGGGAGATTCGGCTGAAGGTGACTCAAGGGCCGATCAAGGCGATGAAGAAAAAAGATGAAGTGAAAGCGATGAAGTCAGAAGATGAAGTGAAGGCGATCCGACCCCCCCCCCCCCCCCCCCCCCCCCGAACCGCCGCCGGGGGTTCTTGGAAAGTCGAGGGAAGAAATTTATTTTTTCGCTTTTAATTATTTTAATGGTCTAAATTTGTTTGTGTTTGTTTGTTGTTTTATCTCTTTCGATTGTAAGACTATGAATTTGAGTTTGGATGTGGGTGATGATCTAACTGCGATTACCATCACTGGCTCAGTTGTGCCCATTAATGGATCTACGAGTTATATTACCGAGGTAATTAACTCTGAGTTTGGTTCGCGGGACGACGGTTTTCATAAGTTTTATTGTTGATTTACCTACTTTCCGAATGATTTGATATCAATGTAAGCCGCTTTCATCCAAAAAAAATGGTTCTAGTTTTAATTAGAATTTTCTAAACTTATTCTACGTTTACACTTATATTATATTTTAGAAATGTTTTGTAATGTTTCAAAATAAATCATCGCTAAGAAATAAGAACCTTTCATAGGGGTGGATCTAGGGGTGAAATAAATCGAATCTATGTTTAGTTCTTGAGTTTGCTGGCAGACCTTCAACCGATTGTTTTCATCTTCACTAAACTTTTGTTCTATGGAAACCGTTGAAATCGACATGGATAAGATTAGCCTGTTTCGCCATTCTTGATAAAATAAAAAACATTAGTTGTTTATCATTCCACAATTTTAGAATGTTCTACCGCCAGACATTTTTCACCTACTCGCCACCTCCAATCTGCCACAATATTGATGACGCCGAAGTTTGTTGCTACCACTACCGGACTAATCCATCACCAACGGACTAACCTTGGTTATGAAAGGGAACTAGGACACAAAAAATTATATTACTACGTAATTAATAATAAATTAAATTAGGGTATAAATGTAATGTTTAATCATATTTAATAAAAATCAAACATATTATTCTAGAATGTTCTACCGCCAGACATTTTTCACCTACTCGCCACCTCCAATCTGCCACAATATT